AGGCCAGCGGCGTTTGCCGTGAGTGCGTAGGGGCCAGCGAGTCACATAACCTTCTGGGTGGAAACCTGCACTCCTCCCCACCCACTGTGGTTCTAGGGACGTATTTTAGAAGTCTTGGGGTGACAGAAGATGAAGGAAAGTGACCGTGAGTGAAAAGGCTATTGGCAGTAGAAGGAGGCCTGGAGAGGCTAGGCAACTTTGAGTTTGTCCCCCAAAGGGCGGGAACCAGATAACTGCTGAGACAATGGCCTGGGGTCAGCATGGGCAGGCTCTTGTGCTCTACCCACGTCCATCCACGCAGACTTTGTTGGGCCTGGCTGTGCCCAGCCTGCACACAAACAAGCCTAGTCGAGTGGACCTTCTGGAGCTAAAAGTTCTGGGCCTTTTATGCACTCCACCGCCACCTGCCTCTGTGCCCTGAGGGGCCAGTAGTGTGCCTTGCACCAGATTGAGAGGAGGGGCTTCACTAAATTAAATTAAGTCATTATGGGAGTGGGGAGAGGACAGGACTGGAAGAAATCCTCACTGGAAGCCAATAAAAGCCATCTTCCACTGCAAAGCAAGATGTGGAACTTTCTGTTCCTTCTGTTTGTCCATTTCATCCCTTACTCTTCTAGGCTGGATTTTATTTTTTAAAAAAGTTCACCTTGAAATCATGACCTCCACTGAGGTATCTGTGCTTGGAGCAGATTTCACCTGAACCAGTGCAGAGGTTTGACATCTCTCTCAGTAAACTGGGTGGGGCCCTAGCCAGTTTTAGCCTCAGAAAATACCTTCAAGTTAATTTGTTTCTCTCGGGCCTTTTTTTGTTTTGTTTTGTTTTGTTTTTAAATACACAAGGGAACAGGTGAGGAAACATTTGCCTGCTATCCTTTAAAAATGCATACGCCTTTGCAGACTTAGAAGCTATTTGTTCTATGGATTTATAAAACACCCTTAGACCTGCCTATAATAAAACATTTTATAAATCCTTATCTACAGCCATTTCATCAGAAAAGATGATTCGAAGGTTTGTCACAAAATAGCCAGTCAGACTGCACAGGAAAATTGCTGAGTTTCCTAATTTATGATGCACATTACCCTCATTTTCCTGACCATTCAAGATGCAGTTTGGTTTTCAGTAGTTTCTCTTCTCCCTGATTTCTCCTGCCGAAGCCCTCTGAGTCTCTCTGGCCTGCATACACCCCTGATTGCATCTCTCCCCCTCGCTTTCCTTCTTCCTCCCCCGAATACTCCTTTCAAGTTCTTTCTTTCTGTCTGATTTTTACCATTCCCACCTAGTTCTGATAAAAGCATCTAACCCTGAGAATCACCTCCTGAACCAGTGTTTTCTCTTACTGGTGATACTGGGAAACATTACTAGGATGAGAGCTGGGGCAGTTTTTTGGAGTCTTACATGGTTGATGTTATCCTCTGAGAGAGAAAATGAAATTTTCCCTGGATTGACCAGTTGAGAAACAGAGGTAGACACCCACCTGCCTGCCCCAATAGGGAAGAGCTGTGTGTAGACAGCCTCCAGGAGCTGGAGAGAATTAATACAGAAGGTCTAAGAGAAAAAGAGACTTCTAATGGAAGGGACTTTTTCATCTTTCCCAACTCTGCCTTGGGTGGCAGTCTTCACGGTAAAGAGGCAGCAGATAAGGCCGAAAGCCAAATGACCCCAACACTGGACAGCCAGCGCCAGGTTTAGAGTTGTCAGTGCTTCTGTGGAGGGAAGGGGAGCCTGGCTGGGGAGCATGGCATGAACACAGGCTTCTACCTGGCTCTGTACTGGTGTCCAGGCACGTCGCCCTGCTGAGTCCGGACCTCTGCATGCATGGATGAAGACCTTGGAGAATGACCGTGGAGACCGTTCTGACTCTGGGATCTGAGGACTTTTCAGGGACCTGCAGAAAGAGTAGGGTGCAAGATTCAGCCTTTATGTTATCAGTTGTGCTTTGGGGGGATTTTACTTTAGTCTTAAGTTGAATTGACATTTTCTGTTTCTCTTGCTAATTCTGATGTAGTGAAAGGTGCACAGTTCCAAGCATAGTAAATATTTATTAAGCAAATAAAATCAGAAAGGTACCAAGTATACATCCCAGATCTCATACATGTGAGTTATACAACCTTGTTTCTGTAGACTCAGTTTCAGCATTACAAAATGGAGATAACTTCTTTCTGAGCTGTAAAGACAGTGTTGATTTCCAGCACAGTGCCTGCCATATCACAGGTACTCAATTCAGGATAGCCATGATTATTTTCTTTCATTTTCAGGTACTGATCTGATACTGGGCCTATCAGAGGGTCTGCATAAAAATCCATCATGGCCATAAACTTGATCAAGTCGTGTAACACCAACTTGATCTACCAAAAGTCACTGCCTTGGGTTAGCAGATTCCCAAAAGCCAATTTCTGATTGGATTTTCCTGGGCCCATCCTAGGTCAGAACAGAGCCCAGCAGCTAATGCCAGACGAGCGTCCTGGAGGGACTTTGAGAGAGAACTTGAAGGACAGTGTGTTCCCTCCACAGGTCTGTCTGTCTATTAAGTGGTCCCACTGTCTTTTAACAGGATGGTCTCCCAAAATCCACGTGGGTCCTAGCATTTTTTTAATTGAAGTATAGTTGATTTATAATGTTGTGTTAGTTTCTGCTGTACAGCATAGTGATTCAGTTAAAGATTTTTCATATTCTTTTTCATTATAGGTTATTACAAGATATTGCATATAGTTCCCTGTGCTATACAGTAGGATCTTAATGTTTATCTATTTTATATATAGTAGTTTGTTTTGACCTGAGTGCTTCTCAGCCCCTTCTGGATGAGATGCCATCTTGCTGAGAAGCTTTCCCAGCACTCCCCCTGGAACTGGTTCTCCCTTCTCTGAGAACATCACACTTCTTACCCTTAACCTCACAGGATTTGTAGAGTTATCTTTTTGTGGTCTGGTTCTGATTCTCCAACTAGATTTTTGTATTAAGGAACTCCTGGTTTACCTTCCTACTACAGCAACAACTAACATGTAATGAATAGGTTTTACAGTTTGCAAAATAACTTCACAGACTATCACTGGTCCTCTGTGGCCTATCACAATGTCTTACTCATAGGATAAGCACTTACTGATTGATTGATACCATCATGTGTTTATCAGATATATAGTGAGCAGTTCAAGTTTTGAATCTAAGGTATATTTCTTTTTTTGGTCTCCTCTTGGTAGTAAACAACCAAGGCCACCATCAGGAGAAGAGAATTAACTGTATGCTCAAAAAAGTTACCAGCAACACCACCTATCACTATTAAGCCTTCCAAGATTTTAGATATGTCTCCATGTACATATATGTTTATTTTTTGTTGGAAGGGAAAAGAAAATGCTTAATTAACCTACTGAAATCATTTTGCAAACAACTTGACTTGTACTTATGAGGTCATGACCAAAGATGAAGCTGAGTGAAAGTAGATGAGGGTGACCTATTGGACTTTCAGGCCATGTCCAGGTTCACACTTGTCCTTTTGCATTCAGTTCTAGAATCAAGCTTTCCTAGGCTCTGCTTTTTTTTTCAATCAGTAAGGACCCAAGTAAGGACTTGATAGAATGGTGTTTCATGGTCAAAATGACTCAGAATGATTACCTATATTATCAGTAATGAAAAATAGAATCTTAGAACCAACCAAGATTTGTGAAAAAGACAGGAGCAGCTTAAAACCTAACCACCACCCCCATAACCCTCACCCCCTGCACGCAGGTCCTCAGTGTTTGACTTCTCCCCCCAAAATCCTTAAAGATGTTTCTGAGGCCGCCTGACTTTCTACAGCAACTCTGGTGTTGCTGAAGATGAGATCGACTTAACCAGTTCTTAAGACTCAAGTCGGTGGTCTCAGGGCTAAAATAAAAAAGTATCTCTAGGAGCTAAAAACTGCCAAGATAGTCTTGTGTCTGCCTCTCCCCTCTGGGCACTGGAGAAAGCAGGCCACAGCAGTCCTAACCCCGGGATGAAAAGCCCAGTTCGCAACACTGAAATCTCACCTTACTGTTTGCTTGGGAGATGTCTCTTTAACAGCCAACCAGTCCGTTTGGTGCATTTGCCAAGTGGGAGGGGTATGTCTTTTATCAGCCCAACTCCTGGGATTAATTGTCTTATCTCTACTCCTTTACTCTGCCTGCAGAGTGTGGAGCTGCCAGTGTGTTCTTCCTGGCTGCTCTGCTCTCACTCCCTGCCTCCTCTCTTTCCCCAGGAAACCTCATGGCTGCAGAGCTGCACCTAAAGCAAGACTAGAGGCGAAGCCAGCCAGCAGCCCCCTCCCGTCCCCTCCCAGCCCTGCCCAGATCACCCAGTTCCGAATGATGGTGTCTCTGGGACATTTAGCCAAAGGAGCCAGCCTGGACGACCTCATCGACAGCTGTGTTCAGTCTTTCGGTGAGTTGGTGAACTGCCCACATGCATAAAAATCGCTCTCTTACTTTGTTCTTCCTTAAAAAGTGCTTTATAGAATAGCAACCTAAATTGCATTTTGGCTTTAAAAATAGCTTTTTGAGCCTTTGAAATGTTGGAGACAGTGTGCGGTGCCTGTGGCACATGACTATGTGGGCGTAATAGGTCGTGATGAGAGGTGCGATTTAAAGTGCGAAAAGTGACTGAGGAGAGTTTGCATTTCCATTTTTCTTAAGATGGAGGTTTTTCTCGTGATGAAAAATATCCTAAAATGCAGTGGAGCATCTGGTGCTTTTCTGTCCTTGTGTTCTTGGGGCACACAAAGACTGGATTATGTGAGCAGACACCTTATCAAGCAGAAATTTGAAAGCCTTTGGATCATTTGGACCATAAAGTCTTAATTCCCCTCACAATGTGGAGGGTAGTTGTGGTGGAATAGGAAGGGACCGGGTAAAGCCAGAAAGTCTGTGCCTGAAAGATACTAGTACATAAGCGTTGTGACTGAGGAACGAGGGTCTAGGAAATGAGCAGGCAGACAAGTCGGCAGGGAGTTATCTAGACGCCGCACTCTGTCATTACTCATGCTCACCATGGAGGATGCACAGCTTAATGCATCTACGAGCAATTATCGGCAAAGATGCCCTATTTTTTTTTAATGTTGTAAGCAAGTTCTTTTGATTGTTATTTGTGAAATAGTGATTGAAAAGTACTAAATAGTTGTTCCCCTCCCCCTAAAAAAAAAATGATGATGGAAGATTCATAGAGTTCCAGGATCCCTGGTCCCCCTTTGTGCCCTCTTTGGAACCCCTCCATCTCCCACTGTGAAGCAGATGAGCATGCGGGGCTCAGCTCAAGTGCCAGCCCACCCTGGCCCCCCCCCCCCCGCCCAGGTGCCTCCTGGGGATCTGGGGATGGTTGGGGAGGCTTGATCAGATCCCAGGTGGTGCAACACGCAGAACTGTTTGAACTCAAAACCAGGGATTCTTAACTGGCTGGACCTGTTTAGTGCTCAGTCAGACCTTATTTATAGGATTGCAAAAGAATCGACATTTGGGGGATTCTCATTTAGTACAACTTAGCAAAACATCGAGCCATGGTTCTCAAATGTTAGTGCAGAATGTTAGTTTTGTGACCCAGATTGCTGGACCCCACTGCCAAACAGGCTGCTCTGCTCTGGCAGGTCTGGGGCAGAGCCCAAGAATTTACATTCTCCCAAGTTCCCAGGTAATGCTGCTGCAGCTGATCCAAGAACCCTACTTGGAGAATCGTTGCTTTATTGTTTGTTCCACATACTTTAACTTGGGAAAGAGGGAGCATTTTTACTATTACTAGTTTGGCATTAAATTTTAATTAAATTTCTGTTTATTTACACTTTAGCCTTCTGGTTAAGGATGAGTTTGGGAGCAGAATGAATGGTTTCCTATTTCACAATAATCCCTTTGGAAAATTGAGATGCAAGGAGATAAATGGGAAGACAGTGGGGGTGAGGGGGAGCCAGGCTGTGATGAGCCACTGTTCATCATGTATTTACTTTCACCTGGTTCCCAACTTGATAAGCTGCAAAGTTCCTTCTGCAGTTGCAGTTGTCTTATTTACTGGTCTTTGCCAGAGCATTGTAACTATTTCATGAATAAGCATTCTTATCGTTTTCCATTTCACCGTTAAGAAGACTGGGATGCAACAATGTCTTTACTATGCTGTCTTTCTTCCTCCCAGGGCGGCCGCTCCTTCAGCTGCCAGCCTAGCTCAGGGCTGTTGTCTTAACCTTTAAATCATCCTGACATCAACCTGAAAAATACCTGATTGATTCTGAAGTCCTTCTGCAAATTATCCAAGCCTGATCCACTCCCCTCAATGAGTCCTACAGGGGCTAAAGAGACTTTGTTTTGTGGATTATGTTGAACCAAAAAGTACCTTAGAATCCCAAAGCTTTAAAAATCCCATTGAGTCTAGTAGTCTTTTATCCATGATCATGAAGCGTCAATAGCCCCCAGTCAAGCACCTAATTGCATCTGACACTGGGCTGGGCATGAGAGCAGAAGGAGAATTACAGTGACCGAACCCCTGTTTCAGTATTCAAGCTTAGAATACCTGAGAAATGTACCGTTCGGGGTGGTGGTGGGGGAATGTACAGAAGACAGGGCAATGATAAGCTAAGGTGTACAGATAGAATAAATTCTTTACACCACGGAGACTTTGAGTAAATTCCCTTCAAAGCTGAGGACATAGATTAGGGAGAGCAGCCACTGTCTGTTCAAACCCCGCCTGGGCTGTGGGAATGCTGCCCAAAGGCAAGAAGGTAAGATGTCAAGGCTTTGCACCTGATGTACTGCAGAGTTTCCTGCCACAGAATTTACATGGAAGAGGCAAGTAAGAAAAGACACCCTATGTTTGGAGGGAATGGGAGCCGGCACTTTCGTCTGTGATTTTGACTCTGGTTATCAGTTGATTATCAGCTGCCACCTCTCGTGGGGGTTGGGGTGTGGAGCTGGAGCCACAGGGGTGACTGGATCTGGGGACCCGCGGCAGGACTGGGACAAGCAACAGTCCATGGCAGAATCTCACTTGTGCTTCTGTAGTCTCCTCAGAGGTGAGCCGAGAATAGTAACAAGCAAGGCTGATGTTTCTCTGGAAACTTACCTCACAAGTTATTTTCTCAGGTTTGTGTAGAAGCGTTTTGCTTTAGAATAAAGCAGTCTGGCTTAGTTTTTTGTTAGTGAGTTTATGAGTCTTCTTATTTTAATATCCAAGCAAAGAGAGGGGAATAGCACTACAGAAGTGTGGGGAAAGCTTTTTTTTTTCAGGTAATCTCTCCCTTTAGTGTTTTCAGCCGCTCTTTCCACCAACTTGAAAAAAAAGAGAGGGGAAAAAACTCTTCTGAATAGAAAGACTGACTAATTAGTTAATTTACTTTTTACTGCTTTCTCAACCTCACTTCTGTACAGGTGCTTTGAGGACTTTTGAATTGACTACAGCTGTGCTGTCCAACGCGGCAGCCACTACTCACGTGCAGCTACTGATGTATACGTTTCAGTTAATTAAAAGCAAATCAAATGTAAAATTTAGTTCCTAAGCCTCACCAGCCATCTCAAGTGCTCAGTAGCCACAGGGGTACCTGCTGCTAGACAGAGTGGATAGAAAATATTTCCTTCTTTGCAGAAAGTCGGTTGGATAGTGCTGGACTGGGAAGATGGTTGACGTGGAGGGGAAAAGCAGTGTGGGATCTGCATTCTTCTAGCAACTCCAGCTAATAGTCTGAATACTCTCTCAGACATCCTGGGCATTTGGCCATCTTGACTGATGGCTCTCCCTTTAGTAGTATTAACCGTTAATTACCACCCACACTGTCCTCAGAGGGAGGGCTTATTACATTGCTTTTAAGGGTGGGTGACCAGCACGTACAAATTAAGGGTACTCTTGAGGGCCTCTAGCAAGCCTCCCGGTGTCACATACAAGCTTACAGAGCTGTGACTAGAAACTCAGAGCCTTGAGTCATAGTTCATTGCTTTAACCGTGAAAACAGCCCACTCCCACCTTCTGTTTTAATGAGAGGTCATGCTTTACATTCTCGCTGTATTATTGCTGGTTAATCCACTCTTTGGCTGAGCATAATGAGGCAAATCATCACAACCTGGTACATTTGTGTCAAATGTATGTGAATCACACCATCTGTTTCAGAGGTAGGAAAGACCAATGAGATCATCTGGGCTTTTTATAATGTTTTCATTTTGTAAGAGAGCTGCCAGCTTCAGGGGCCAAACAGAAGGCTTCAGATGTCCAAATTCTGCCCCCTTCTGAATGCACGGCAACTACTGACAGCATCAGAAACAAAACTGCAAGTGTGTCCCAGAAAAGGACCCTCACAGCAGCCCTCCTGCTCCCAGTGGGTTGTGGAAAGAAACTCAATCTCTTTGTCTTACCTGTCAGTGAGAAGGGAAACACAGCTTAGTTAGCATCTTATATGTGGAGTGTTGTTTATTTTTTCTTGAAGGGCTGTATGTATTGACTTTCTTTTAAACTCAGAACAGCTCTGCAATAGGCAGATCAGGTGTTAACTGTCTCCATGGGCAAACGAGAAAATAAATGGAGCCTCTGAGAATTGAAACAGCTGGCCTCGTGCCCCCTAGTCTAAAGAGTAAACCCGCTGTTCATGCTCCGTCCTCTGTCCCTAGAGCTTCTTGCAGTGTGAGCTGGCCCGTGCTTGGGTCCTTCTCCTAGGACAGGCTCCCTTCATGTGCCATACAGGACGGGTTTGCACCCCATGCCCACACTCTACGTGCCTCCTCTCCTCCAGATTAGAAATTAAACTCCATTGTGTAAGAAACATTTATCACATCCCATCTATATGCATGGCGTCTTTCTCCAAGTGTTAATTAATTAAAATTAGTCTGTGCTTTGTACCTCCCAAACTAGAAAAACCTCAAGACTAACAGGTCTATTTCCTGCACCATGGTGCAGTTGGATGTATAGACAGACCTTAACTTCTTAAGACTAAAACACTACATTGGTTTTTAAATTAGGGCCAAAGAAAGCAAAGACACACTTGTCAGGACCTTGGTTTCCTCTGTGGCACAGGGAGGCTTGGGTGTTCCTCGGCACTCTGCCACTTAGAGTCTGTGCACAAAGCCAAGTGCCCAGAGGCAGCAGGAGAATAAGACCAGAAGCCAAGAGCCATGACATTGAAGGACACTCGGACATAACAACTGGTAGCTCCAAGGAACAAAGCCGAGTGTAGGGTCAGGAAGCCTGGCCGTTGTGATGACAGGCCCTTCGTGGGGAAGACCACAGCTGTGCCAGTAGCCTCTGGGAGTCACAGTTACAAGGTTTCACATGTGCAGGATGGTCCTGAGACTTACATGGCATCAGAGCACCTCCCGGGCATGACCATCCGTAGCCCTCTGGAGTGAATTAGGATTCTGTCATTGGATGTTGTGTATTGCAAGGAGTCTTTTTGCTGCATCTTTGACTGGCTGGCATGTCCACCC